GCTGAAATCTTGCTGGGGTCTACCTGGATACCGGTGGCAGAGATAACATGTCCTAAGAATGTCACCTCACTCAACCAGAATTCACACTTGGACAATTTTGCATACAGCTTGTGCTCTCTCAACACACTCAAAACCAATTGCAAATGTCTAGCATGCTCCTCCTGAGTCCGTGAATAAACCAAGATGTCATCGATGAACACTACTACGAACTGGTCCAAGTATGGTCGGAACACACTGTTCATAAGCTCCATGAACACTGTCGGGGCATTAGTCAATCCGAAAGGCATGACTGAGAACTCGTAATGCCCATAGCGTGTCCTAAAAGAAGTCTTCGGAATGTCTTCTCTCTTAACGGGAATCTGATGGTATCCAGAACGCAGATCAATCTTCGAGAATACTGTAGCCCCTCTGAGCTGGTCGAACAGGTCGTCGATGCGAGGCAACGGATAACAATTCTTCACTGTGGCTTTGTTCAACTGCCTGTAGTCGATGCAAAGTCTCATGGATCCATCCTTCTTTCGAACAAATAACACCGGTGCTCCCCATGGGGAAATGCTAGGTCGGATGAATCCCTTTTCCAGTAGCTCTTGCAACTGAGCCTTCAACTCCTTCATCTCGGCAGGTGCTATACGATACGGTGTAGCAGATATGGGTTCCGTACCCGGAATGAGATTGATCGAGAACTCTACCTCTCTCAGCGGAGGCAAACCAGGAAGGTCTTCGGGAAAGACATCAGGGAAGTCGCAAACCGTACGAATGTCCTGCTGACGTGGTGATTCTTTTCGCATATCCTGAACGTGACACAAGAACATCTCGCACTTCTTGCGAACCAAGCGCCTCGCGCTCAAGGACGATATGAACTCGGGAGCCTTGGGGAACACCTCCCCGGAGAGTGATACGTCGCTACTGTCCTCGGCTCTCAGCCGTACGGTCCGACAACTGCAGTCGACCACTGCTCTATGCTCGGTGAGCCAATCCATACCAAGGATAATGTCAAACTCCTTGTGTGGTAGCTCTAACAAATCTGCAGGGAATTGCTTCCCTTGCACGGACAACGGACACCTATGATAAATGTGATGAAGACGAATGCTATGTCCTAGCGGATTCGATACAATGGTAGGTATCTCAAGGTCACTCCTCACGATCACAGAATTAGCAGGCATGCCAACACAGATATAGGAGAGCGTGGAACCCGGATCGATCAAGGCATGCATAACCGAATCAAATAGTATGAACGTACCCAAGATAACATCGGGACTAGGATCTGTGCGCCCCTGCATGGCATAGGTACGCGCTAGTGCACGGCCTGACTGCTGCGGACGTGGTCTCTGCTGATTACTTGCGGCTGTAGACTGCTGACTCCGTGCTGGATGCGATGTGGCAAGCTGATCCGGAGCTCTAGGAAAAACAGGCTCGCTGCTAGGGTTTGTCGTGCAATGCCTCCTGAAATTCCCTGGCTTACCACAACCCAAACATAAGCCTTGGGCGAGCCAACACTCGCCCGGGTGATGCCTACCACATTGTACACACTGCGGGTGGCTCCTCGTTCTGATCGAGTTGCTAGCGGCGGCCGACGGAGACGGCTTCGACTTACTCCTCTTAGGCGGCGGCGCACTCGAAGAACCCTTCTCGTACCTCTTTCCCCCGAATCCAAAACTCTTCCCGCTCGGCCCGGTGCTGGTCGCGGGTCGCGGGTCTTTCGTCGAATTCATTAAAGTCTTGGATTTAACCATTAGGTCAAACCTACGTCAACAGAATATCCAGTCAAAGCCCAAGTCAAACAGGACCTAACCCAAGTCAAAGTCAAACCTGTTCAGTCAATTCACAATCCTCAACAATTCAATTCAAATAATCAATTTAATTCAATTAACCAATTTAGCCAAATTATAGCATAAACATATATAACGATCCAAACCATTAAATCTATTCTGAACGCTATTAATTTCATAGTACGGACCTGGATTACGCAGAAATCGAATCGATAGCTCGAACGGAAAACAAATCAACGAAATCAAACGAACAACGGGTCAAATTGAGCCAAAACACGAAATCGACCAATCAACCTGGCGTGGAGATTAATCTACCGGCGATATCAACCCGGGGCAGCGGCTGGATGCGGCGACAGTGGCGGACGCCGGCGTACAGTGGCGAAGCGGCAACTCGACGGCGTACAGTGGCGGCGCTGCAACTCGACGGCGATGAGCAGCGACTGGCGGCGCTGCAACTCGACGACGTACAGTGGCGGCGCTGCAACTCGACGGCGTATAGTGGCGGCACTGCAACTCGACGGCGATGAGCAGCGACTGGCGGCGCTGCAACTCGACGGCGTAGAGTGGCAGCGCTGCAACTCGACGGCGATGAGCAGCGACTGGCGGCGCTGTAACTCGGCGGCGTACAGTGGCGGCGCTGCAACTCGACGGCGAGGAAAGACGCCGGTAGTGGAGGTGACGTCCAGCGTTCGGCGTGGCGGCGCTGCAACCCGACGGCGGTGGACGACCGACGCTGGCAGTGGAGGCGACGAACGGCAACACGACGAGGTGAACCGTCGTCGGCGGCGCTGATGCTGACGGCAGATCTCTAGCGAAGGAAGCAACGACGATTGGAAATGAAGAAGAAGAAAGTGACGATGAAGATCGCGGCTCTCAGATCTAAACGGAAGAAGATAGGTTTAGGTTTTATTTAATGATCCCATTCCTAAAAGGATTGGGCTTCGGACCCAAAATACCTGATTAAATGGTCATAACATGAGCTCCAAAACTCCGATTCGCGAGCCGTCTGAAGCGACGCGATCACAAAAATATTTCCTACGAGATGACATAAAAGTTGGGCTTAGAATCCAAATTATAATTTTAACCCCTTTTTGGGCCCAATTTGTAATCAATTGCTCTAACAATTTAATTAATTCTTTTGGGCCAGATTTCGGGGCGTTACACATTGACATTTCTAAAGACGACGACATTGGCGTTTTGAAGACGTGGTCTAGAGACTTAGGCTTTTATCGTAACAAGCTCATTCAATTTCTTTACGTATTGGCTCAAAACTAAATATGTTTTTCATGTATTAAATGAGTGTTTTCATAAATGGTTTTAAGTTTCGAAAGACCCTGGTTCTTGCCCAACCAAAACCATAACCATCGGTTATCGGCGTTCGGCTATGGCGCTTAGTTTTGGGCATGGGTTATTGGCATTGATTTTAGCCAAATGGTTTTTGGGTTTTTATCTTTGGTTTTTGCTTCTGGACACATTTAAAGGTTTTCCAAATCATTAGTTTTCAGAAACCATAACCTTTGTTTTTTCGGCGTTGGTTATCGGTATTTGGCGCTAGTTATCAGCGTTGGTTTTTGGTGCCCAAATAATCAAGTTGATTTTAATATTTTATGATTGGTTTTTACTTCTGGGCATATCCAAATAGTTCTCCAACAAAAACATGTTAAAAACCACCTCTCGTTTTTGGTCTTTTGGTGAAAACCATGTGAAACGGCATAAACTTGGCTAGCCGTGGTTTTTACCTTAATGAAGTGGTTTTTAAGTTTTTATACTTAGTTTCTACATAAAATACATTATATAAGAGTTTCCAACACTTTGTTTTCATTTTGGAGAACTTTGGTTTTTGACATCAATTTTCGGCGTTGGCTCCCAAACCATGGTTCTGGCGACCAGGCCCAACATAGATGTTGGATTTTGAACATAGATGTCTGAACAGAGATGTTGGGATTTGGACATCGATGTCTGAACAGCGATGTTTGGATTTGAACATCTATGTTTTGGCCAGGTTGGCTCACGTTAGTCTGGGGCAGTAGGTTTTTGAACAACGATGTTCATTGTTGAACAGCGATGTTTTCAAATAACCGTTGGGCTATTTAAGACAAAATCTTTCCATTTTTGAAAGTCAATCACCCCAACATCGATGTAGACTTCTAGACATCGATGTTTTGATGACCGTTAGCCATTTTTAAAGGAAAGTCAAAGCCAAAACAGCGATGTTAGGCTAAAATTCTGTAGACCAACTTTGATTTGATTTCCACAAATCATGCCATTAAACCCCAATCAACTCCCATCCGTTACACATCATTTATGGGTATAAATAGGGGTCTTTTAGGTCTACTTTTCACAACCATTCCTCACACATTTCATAGCTTTACATTGCATCATCCCATAAACTTTTTACATAGCTTTTTAGAGCCATTTCTTGAGGAATTGAGTGTGTTCTTGATCTAAATTAGTTTACTCGTATTCTACTCTTTAAGAGAGTTCTTGTTCTTGAGTGGTTAAGTGTTCTGAACACTTTAAGGGGGGTTTGTTCCCTGGGTTGTACGATGGAAGGGCATATTCCTTCGGGTTGAAGTCTTGGAGTGCGGTATCTCCGAGCAACTGTATTGAGGCTCGTGGGACTCGAGTTCTCAGGTTGTAACGGTTTGTTAAGCACCCGTAAGCTTAACGGAAGTAGTGTAGCTCGAGAGAGTCTCTCGAGAGGATGGACTAGCCACACGTTGTGGTGAACCAGGGTAAAATCGGTGTGTTCTTTCTTTACGCTTTTTTATTCCGCTCTTTACTTTATCCCTGCGATTTTTCTTCCACGAAAATTTATAAACATTCTCGTGCCTCACTATTCACCCCCCCTCTAGTGAAGGGCACTTATTCTAACAATTGGTATCGGCGCCTAACTCTCTAAAAGCCTTAACGGGTTGAGAGAACGATCTATATTTCTTTTGAGAATGTTGAGCGTAAGATCTTTTAGCGAAGGACATTCTTTAACAAGGCCACCACTCTTTAATGGAGTAAATTACTCTTATTAGAAAGAAAGAATGAGAATCTTCATTCAATCCGTTGATTACACACTATGGATGTCAATCAAGAATGAAGTTTCTCTCCTAACGAAGAAGGTGGGCAAGAAAAGAGTAAAGAAACTCGAGGAGGAGTACAATGAAGAAGATATCAAGAAGGTGGAACAAGATGCAAAAGCTCTTAACCTTCTACTTTGTGCAATTGACGCGCAAGGACTTCAAAAGTTCTCCGGATATCAAACGGCTAAGAATCTATGGGATGACATTCGTGAGAAATACAAAACTCTACAAGGAGAAAACGAAGCAACCCATATTTGCCTCATGGCCAATGAGGAAGAAGAGGTAAGTACTTCTAACTCTCCTTCTTTAGAAGAATTACAAGAAGCTTTTAAAGAACTATTTGGTGAATTCAAGAAAGCATCAAAAATTGCCAAAGAGGCTAAGGCTAAACTTCATGCTTTGGAAGAAGAAAACAAATTTTTAGAAAATGATAATCTTGACCTTAAAAATAAGATTAAGGCAATGAATGAAGGTTCTTCCTTTGACCAAAGTTCTACTTGTTCCTCTTGTGAGTCTTTAAAAATAGAGAATGTAGAACTTAAGAGCACCATAGAAACACTTAAGGTAGAAGAGTCTAAGAAACTTGGTGAAGAAGTTAAGAATAATAAACCACCTAGAAGAACAAGTAATCCTAGGGATAACAAAATTAATTTTAGAAAGAATAAAAATAATAAGTTGAGACAACCTATAAATGACTCTAAGATTTTTATAAATGATAGGAAAAATTTGAGACAACATAGAAATGAGTCTAGGAACTTAATTAATAATTCTAGGAATAATGACTTTAGATCACCTAGAAATTTTTTGGCTCAACCTAGGAATATGCATAATCCAAATGTAGTTTGCCATTATTGCTCTAAGATAGAATACATAGCACCTGTTTGTTTTACCAAACACAAGGATTTGTTTTATAGCTATGATTATTATTTGCCTAATCCTCAAGGACCCAAAAGTTTTTGGGTATCTAAAAATTATTTTTAGATGCATATGTAGGTGTGTTTGAAGACTATATTTTTGTAGTGGATGCTCCAAGCACGAAACCTAATGATTTGCATCAAGGGGAGTTTGGGGGGAATGTTTTTGCTATAAACATGGTATCAGTTTCAGGGGGAACATACAACAATGATGTTTTGTATTAAACATCAATGCTCAAGGAGTACACTTTTTAAAACATTATTTAGTGCTTTTTGCTAATGTCAAAAGGGGAAGTGTTTGGGTATATGCAACAAGTGAGGGGGAATCACGTTTTCAAAGATGTAGGGGAAACTACTCTCATTTTGAAAACCCAACTTGACTTGCATATCCCCGCCTTGGTTTGCCATTATCAAAAAGGGGGAAATTGTTGGAAAACATTTTCACTTTTACGTTTTGCTAATGACGAGGTTTGTTTCTGTTTAGCTTTTGATATTGACAAACCGTCGAGAACATCGAACAAAATGAAAAGATTCAAATAGATAGCAAAAGTTCTTTGAAAGAACAAAAAGCACAAGAAAGACATTGACATTTCTAAAGATGACGATATTGGCATTTTGAAGACGTTGTCTAAAGACTTGGGCTATTATTGTAACAAGCTCATTCAATTTCTCTACGTCTTGGCTCAAAACTAAATATGTTTTTCATGCATCAAATGAGTGTTTTCATAAATGGTTTTAAGTTTCTAAGTTTCATAAATCGGCGTTCGGCTATGGCGCTCGGTTTTCGGCATGAGTTATTGGCATTGATTTTAGCAAAATGGTTTTGGGTTTTTATCTTTTGTTTTTGCTTCTGGAAACATTTAAAGGTTTTCCAAATCATTAGTTTTCAAAAACCATAACCTTTGTTTTTTCGACGTTGGTTATCGGCATTCGGCGGTGGTTATCGGTGTTGGTTTTTTAGGCCCAAATCAATCAAGTTGTTTTTAATATTTTATAATTGGCTTTTACTTCTGGGCATATCCAAATAGTTCTCAAACAAAAACATGTTAAAAACCACCTCTCGTTTTTGGTCTTTTGGTGAAAACCATGTGAAACAGCATAAACTTGGCTAGCCGTGGTTTTTTACCTTAATGAAGTAGTTTTTAAGTTTTTATACTTGGTTTCTACATAAAATACGTTATATAAGAGTTTCCAACACTTTGTTTTCATTTTGGAGAACTTTGGTTTTTGACATCGGTTTTCGGCGTTGGCTGCCAAACTATGGTTCTAGCGACCAGGCCCAACATAGATGTTGGATTTTGAACATAGATGTTTGAAAAACGATGTTGGGATTTGGACATCGATATTTGAACAGCGATGTTGGGATTTGAACATCTATGTTTTGGCCAGGTTGGCTCACGTTAGTCTAGGGCAGTAGGTTTTTGAACAGCGATGTTTTCAAATGATCGTTGGGCTATTTAAGACAAAATCTTTCCATTTTTGAAAGTCAATCACCCCAACATCAATGTAGACTTCTAGACATCGATGTTTTGATGATGGTTAGCCATTTTTAAAGGAAAGTCAAAGCCAAAACAGCGATGTTAGGCTAAAATTGCAATTGAAATTGTGTTCCCGACTACTAGACATCGGTGGTGTTTGTGGCATATAATGAAAAAATCACCGCATAAGTTTAACGGGTATGAGGATAAGGACAAAATACTTTGGACTTTGAATAACATTATTTATGATTTATTCGAAGCCCACAAATTTGATCAAGCTTGGAAAGATATGATTGCAAAATATGGACTAGAAAATAACTCCTTGCTCACGGAAACCCATATAAAGCATATTTCAATGACTTCATATTTGAGTTGTTATTTTTCTTTTCTTTGAATTTATCTGGTTTTCCATCCATCATTCCCTTCAGATGTCGCACGGTCAATATGTATGACTCCCAAGCCCATGGGTATGCAGCGAACATGTTAGGGTCATCAACTACTTCCAGGTGGGAGGCATCATCACACGTACCTCTATCTTTTGCTAGCAATACAGACTCCACAAAATACAATGCTGCAAGTTCTAGTAATTCACCACCAGGTACATGATCGTCCGCAGTCATAAACTTAGAACACAAGTAAGAGAAAGTACATTTCACCCTGCCCCCTCCAAGATATTTATTGTGAATACTCTTCGAAGAATCATTGGCATTGCATAAGTCTGGATATGACTTTGAACTTGGCAAAGTAGTGATTCTACAGAAGTCTTCGAAAGTGAATTTTTTATACTGCCATTGATTAGAAACCACAACAGGCAAATCAAAAATTTCACTTCGAATTTCGGACCTCAACATCCTGCTGCTCATGGTGTTTCACGATCAGTATTGGAAATGAACGGAGAAGTGGTGGAACGTGCGGAACCACATATTGGATCACTCCAGTGCGGCACGAAGCCGCTGATGCCGAGTCGGCTCCTATGCCGCTAGCTATGCCCTGCTTGGTCCCCCGGCACGGTGGAGGTTCCGTAGCGCGTCATGAGCACCGGGCTAAGGCCGCAGGCGGACACGCGGTAGCGTTCGTGGCGGTTGAGGAACTCAAGTGAACCGCCTTACCTTATTACAGCATAGGTACGAAGAACAGAGATTCGTTGAACATAGTTCAACTCATTTGAAACGTGCGGAAAGATCGGCTATGCTTGACGCTCGAAATCGACTCCAGAGGATAAGGAAGGTGACACAGTCAATCAAGAGAAGGATTCAAAAAGAAGATAGCCCTTTCACATAAGCATAAGCATTGAACACTTTAGACTAGGTTTTGGTCGCAAACACTCCCACTCGCCAAAGATGATCATTTAGATAACCATGGGAATCCAACTCCGTGCATTAGTCATTTCCGATCCTTGCGGCAAGAGGATTTCATACCGGCCTTTCTTCTATCTTTCGACCTTCACACACGGTTCTCCCCACAGCTTACTTCGACCTTTCCAACGTCTGCGGCCGTTGCAGCTAAACTAACGGATTGATCACAGAACTGGAAGAGGTTCGATTCCTCTTTTGGATGACTTGTTCAGAAAATTGTAGTTTTTGCATATCCATAAAATGACCAAATGGCATTTCTCGAAACTTCACCATATTGTCTCCACTCAATTTGCTCTTCATAATGGCCACTGCACCTTCCAGTTCTCTACAACCGAATACTGGGCAGGGAAGTGATCTTTTGTGGGAATCAAAAGTGACATTTTAATATTACCTACAAAATAAACATCTGTCATTGCCATAGTCATCATATAAGTGAGCAAAGAATATTAATAACCATAACGTAGTACTTCTAGTAGAGACATGATAGTAATAAGTTGAACGTATAAGTGGGCAAAGAATACTCATAATCATAACCTATTCATTTCAATTCAAATAGCAATGGACTACATATTTAATTTACTGTAAATCATACTCAACAAAATGCATGTTTCACATACTCTAAGTTATAAAGTTTGATGTTCTTAACTACAAGGACTCAACGATCTAAACTTAGTTGAACATATGACAATAAGCCTCTCATTTCAAGCTTCAAAATAGCTTGAGCCTCTCATTCACATAGTTTTCCCTCAAGCATTTACGTCCCACCATAACGAAGGAGAAATACATAATACGAAGCAGGCAAGCAATTGACATTGAAAAAAGATACTCCCTCCGTCCCAGAAAGAATTTCCTGTTTTGATTAACGTGCAAAACCCCATAGATTTTAAAATGATTTTATTTGAAAATTGGTAAGGAAATAACACATAATAAAATTATATTCAAAAACTACATCGAAAACTCTACAAAATAAGAGGCGACAAGAATATTTTATTTTATCAACTTATCAATGAAAACACGCAAACAAATTGGAGTTATCGAGAGGCCGTAATAGTAAACAGGAAAGACTTTTTGGGACGGAGGGAGTATTCTACGTCTGTGAGTAGCAGTTCACATACATTTACCATATTTTCAAAAAGTTAACATGAAAAAAACGTAATTAAGAACTTAGGGTTCATAATCCAAGAAGAAAAAGTAATAATTCAGGAAGAGAAATACATAATACGAAGCACGCAAACATTTGATATTGAAAAAAGATATTCTGCGTCTATGAGTAGCAGTCCACATACATTTACCATATTTTCCGGAAGTAAACATGAAAAAATGTAATTAAGAACTTAGGGTTCATAATCCAAGAAGAAAAAGTAATAATTGAACATAAGTTTTACCATAAATTGGGGCGTAGAACCTGAAGTGTATATTAATACCTGAAGGGCTGATAGGAAATTTAGGCGGCGAAGGTACGGGGAATGAGCAAAGCTTTTATGGGGCGGCGAAGTTGTCCGCCCATGGCGTAAAGCAAATTCCCAACCGCAAAGCAAACTTGCAAATTTTGGGTTTTATTGGATGGCAATGGTGAGGGCTTTTATCGGAAATTTGCTTGGTGTCCATCCATGTCGCAGAGCATAATTCCATGTTTGGAAAGAGAAGGCGATGGTGAAGAAGGGTTTACTAGCGATGGTGAGGAAGGGGAAGGAGCAGGGAGCAGTCAAAAAAAGAAGAAAACCCCCTAAATAGGAGTAAAACATGTATCATATCCTCAAAATAAGAGTTCAAACTTAAACTCTCCTAAATAGTAGTAATTAATTAAATATAAATTTTGATTTATCTCTTAGCTAGCCGCACAAACAAGTTGGGTGCACACCCCAAGTTGGGCGCACAAACCAATTTGGACTCTCAATACTCATTAAACAAAATTGTGGCAAAAGGCAGAGTTACTTGATATTTATCCATTTTTGACATTATGCATTAATATCTGTGATATTGAACATTATACATTGATATATCTTTCATTATACATTACCAGGAATGATATTATACAATGTCAAGGTTGGCATTATCTATTTAATTTGTTTAGCATTATACATTCACATGCATGACTTTATACATTGGCATGATTGCATTATATGATTACATGTGATATTTAATGTGGTCTTTTTTTACACTGTATGGACATTTTAATTTAGCAATTTACTACGTTTCTATAAGTAAGGTATTGCTTTATTTTTTGTTGATAAAGTTTTGGGTGTGTTTTGTTAATGAATTAATTTTGTTTACGTTCAAATTTGTTATTTTTTTAGCATTATGCATTCGCATGTATGACTTTATACATTGGCATGATTGTCATTATATGATTACATGTGACATTTGACGTGATTTTTTTTGACACTGTATGTACATTTTAATTTAGAAATTTACTAAGTTCTTATATGTAGGTATTGATTCATTTTTGTTGATGAAGTTTAGGGTGTGTTTTATTATTGAATTAATTTTGTTCACATTCAAATTTGTTATTTTTTTGTTGATTCAGTTTAGTTAATGATTCAATAACAATTTACTATAAATCAAGATGAGTGAACGAGAGTTCTTGCCAACAAAACGGCAGCATGGAAAGTTTTTCTTTAATAATCATACAATTGATTTGGGCGGTAGTTTGTGGAACTACTTGGTAAAGCAGGGGCAATGTTCACATGGTCATTATGTTACAACATTATGTTTTCATGGAAGAGTTGAAGAGGCACTAGAGTCTTCTAAGCAAATGATAAGTTGTTAAAATAAATTAAATTACATTTTTGACATTAGTGAATTTTTCCTAATTTCTAGAGTTGTCGGAGGTTGAGACTTAGATGCTTTGAGTGTATGAGTGTGTAAAAGAGTATGAAAATTTATAGTTTTAAAAAAAATTAAATAAAGGGGAAATTGCATGGAAGAGGGGCAGTGAAAGTCCTAATTGGAAACAAAGGATTTGAAAATTCATGCATAAGGCGGCTTAGAACAGTGCTCCGAACTCCGAGATTGAAAATTCAGCACATGTACGAATAAGGAGTTTTGAAATTTAGTCATTGTTTAGTTTTGGGATATGCATGAGTCATTGTTTTTGGAGTAAAAAAGATTAGAGTCATTGTTAAGTTAATTACTCCTATTTAGGGGAATTTAAGTTTCTACTTCTATTTTGGAATATGACAACTCTTTTACTCCTAATTTGATCCATCTCCCTCAAAAAAGATGCGGGTGGGATAAGGGGAAACCGAAAGAAAGAGAGAAAATTATTTTTTTTGGGGGGAGGGGGGGTGTATTTTGAGTGTGGGGGTACGGGGGTATATGGGGTACATTTCGGTGTACCCATAGACTTTTCCAAAAGATAAAGCTTAAAGTATTTAAAAAGGGAGATGCTAGGAGTACACCAAAGGTGTACCCCAAATGTACACCACATGCTTTTTGTCCATTCATTTTTATTTAATTTTAATTAGTTTATTTTTTTTGAAAATGACATGCTAATTTTTGTGGTGATGGAGGGGGTGGAAGACATTTGGGGTACACTTTTGATGTACCTCTAGCATTTTCCATTCAAAAAATGGATTCAGCACATCACAACTTTGAGGCTAAATAAATTAAAAATTTGTGGACAAAATGGAGTGCGCACGTCACAGGTGTGCGGCTAAATAAATCGAAAAATTCTGGATGGTGGCTCTAGTGATCCAACCAATCCAAAACCCACACACAAGCTTATCATCATCTTTCCACCACAAAAATTCATTTGCTGCCGGCTACCGGAGGCAGCCATGGGCCAGCGGCGGCGGAGGCAGGCGCAATCTCCGGTGTGCCATCGCGGAGCCGTCGGGGGAGCCAGCGCCGATGGGGCAGAAGACGAAGTACAACGACGGGATGCTTGAAAGGGCATTCATGACTTTGTTTGCTCGAAAAATGGAGAAATTTGGGGGCAGCAATAAGAAGTGGCGGTCGCCGGAGGAAGATCGGAGAAAAGGATGGTTTGGGTATGAGTACGAAAGCTTCGTGGAGGCGTCGAGCAGAGTGACGGTCGGGAGGAATCGGGAGCAGCAGCGACAAGTGGTTCGCCAGGTTTTACTGTCCATGCTTCCTCCTGCTGCTCCCCAGCAGGTAAAACTTAATTACTGCTCCTCCTTCAATTAAATTCAATTTTTTTACACTTTGGTTTTTTTTGACATGGGTAAATACTTTCTCCTTCCAAAAATAGACTAAGGCCGTATTTTCGTCAACTTATTTTTTTACTTATTATTTATTTTTATTGGAACTAGATCAGATCAGATCAGAATTAACTATAAATATAACTACATTCAAATCGGACTTCTTTGAATCACATCTGAACCGATCCGGATAGGTGAAGAGAATATGGCTTAACAAAATGGATACAATTTTCTTCTTTTATTTTAGATGTGGGATACTCAAACAATTTTTAAAGAGTCGAGCTGTTTTTTATAAATGAAGTGTACTTGGAGCGACAAAAAAAAATAAAATGGCGAAATTGTTACCGGGCATGTTTGGTAATAACGTTAGAGATTAACGTAAGCGTTCGAGACACTATCTACGGGCAGCGTTTAACAGTTTAACGTTAGGTTTTCAAAGTAACCTGCAGTGCTCCACATGCTCTTGATTTGTTATCAACCTTTTCTCAATTACGGAGTATTTGAATAAAAAAAATAAAACGGTAAAATTATCCTAAGAATTTTCTTATTTAAAGGCCATTTTATTAAGAACCCTTCTTCACAAAGATTTTTAGACGTACTCCGTATAAAATGGGCAAAATATTCAAGTAATTTTAAAAAGAGAGCAATATCACTTGATAACTTAAAGTGATAGAGTGTGCCATATTATTATTTGATAATTGATATATTTATTTGATAATTTTTTCTAAATTTTGGTACGGTCATGGCTAACCCTATAAAAGAACTCTCATTAAACCCAAATCCAGAAACCCAGCAAACAGTGATTCTCAAGAACATTTCGTCATTGTTGTGATTCACAAGATAATCTAAATACGCGTGAATAAAATCTGTATATATTTGAAATAGTGTCGGTATTATACTCTCTATCTTAGAGAATATATAATTTACCTTGGTTTTTACGATGTTTAAAATAAATGTTGAAAAATAAAAAAATATACGAATGGAATTTGTTTAGACGAGATAGAAATCATGTGAGCTACATATTTATTATTTTAATAGAAAATTAATTAAGTGGGAAATGCTTTTCAAATTGTTTAGAAAGGAAAAATTTGAACGGTTTTTTGTGACGAAGGGAATAGTTTTGTGTCTGTTTTAGCGATTTGATGGAATCCAGCACTTGATGCGTATGTTGTAAGCATCCAAAAGATGAAATGGATTGGGCCTAGACCACCTAGGCCCAGAGGTATACTACAAGGAAGGCCCACATGAAATGGATGGGGTAATCCGACCCAAAAGCAAGACGCATAATAAAAAGAAAATGCTGGCTATCGGGTTCGAACCCATGCGCACTTATGTGCAGAAGATCATAAGTCTTCCCCCTTAACCTCTCGGGCAAACCAGCCCTTTGTGAATTTTAATGCTCAGTTTTTGAAATAACTAAAAAACTCTGAAAATGATAATGCAGTTTAGGAAGCTGTTCCCGCCAACAAAATGGGCTGCAGAGTTTAACGCGGCAATCGCAGTTCCTTTCTTCTACTGGCTAGTTGGACCATCCAAGGTAGTAAAAACTACAAACTCACTTGAAAGTGTTGGAAATGAAAGGATCAAATTGTATTAACTAGCTCAAATTGTGTATTACATGGTTAAGTCCTATATATAGAAAATGAAAAACAAGTAACAACCAAAAATATCTTCTTAACTAACTAACAAACTATGTAACTAAACTATGTAACTAATCAAGTAAACAAATGCTAAATTGTGATATACACCAACACCCCCCCTCAAGTTGAAGGTGGGAACAACTTCAACTTGCAATGGAATAAAATCTGTGTTGACTTCAATGTGTATGTAGATGAAAAACCCGTTGACCAAAACAGTAAGCTTCTGGTTTAGGATCTTTGCTTTGGTTTGAACTTTGAAGTCTCTGCAGCATCACTCTTCATCGATTCTTCAACAAGTTTCATAGGATAATTGCTTCTTTCCACCAAATAGAAGCTTGAACAATGACTCCTATTGTGATGTTAGGATGTTTCTCTTCCTTTTCAAGTACATCCAGGATTTTGCTCTTGTGTTCTACCAATTTGATCATTGCTGCTGGGGCTTGTACTGCCATTGTGACAAAACCACTTGATACTACATCAATGAGGATGCAACCTAGTGCAGTAGTGCCTTTGGGAAATCCAAAAAGCCTATGGGAAACCTTCACAGAGGGCAGCTTGAGTGAAGCAATCTGATCGCTTGATCATGAGCCTGAAGAATCATTTCAAAGTTAAAAGACTGCCCATTCCAGAGAGTAAATTCACCGCTTTGAGATCCAGTAATAAGACGTCTCCCAGTAGGTGTCCACACAACACGATTAATTGAACAACGGTTTTTGTTTAGGGATGTATGAACAAACTTTGCAGCAAAACTGGTGGATGGGTTATCAGAATAGGCAACTG